GCACGAGGCATTTTCCCACTTGATGCAATCTCTGTGTATCCTAAACTCTGTTGCCTAGTGCCTTTCTAAATGCATCCAATGCCAGCTCTAAATTCTAAAAGTTTTGCCATTTATAGATTTTGTTGTTCGGTGTGTCATTCAATTCTCAAAATTCTGCCACATCAGCTCTGTAACTGGCCCTTACCATATATATTTCATATTTCTTCTGAATATTCATATTACTAAAGAAATAAAATTATCCACTTTTTCTGTACATTCTAAATGCATTTAGTGTTTTTTAGAATAACAGAAATCCTTAATTAAATCAAAAAATTCTAAAAGGAAACCTGTTAAAGAAACTAAATACATAAAGAAAATTATTCTTCAAAGATATGTGCAGTTATTATTATATAAATTACCCAATTATTTATAATTTCAGACTTTACTATAATTTCCCATTTCTATTTCCTCATATGATAGAGTTACTGAGCCAACCCTCTGAGTGGCCAGGGTTTTCGCTAAGAAAGCACAAATTTCCCAAAACTACTATGAGAACAAATTATGTTTTTGATTTTTAATGCAAAAATTCTCCTGGTATTACATACCTGGATTTGTGTACTTTTAATATATTGTCTCAATTTCTTTGACATATTTTAGTATGCACATATATATACATTCTTACTGATATCACAAAAAATATTCTAGGCCGTATATATACGGCCTTGACGTTTAGAGGGTTAAAGTAAAACTAAATTGTATAATCTTTGACCACTAGTCCACATTTTTAGTTTGAATTTGACTATTCTTGTTTAATTACATCACTGTGAGCTGTAATTGATTTTGTTAGCATCAGAACATGCCTTTATGTTTTAAGTTCTTTTTAAATAAGAGGCTTATTTAAACCTTTGTCTGATATTGCAGTTACTTTCAGACATAGCAATTATATGCTTCATGTTTGTCGAGGGGTTTGGACTATTTAACTTTTACCAGATCAAATAAACCCTCATAGGTACATTGTGGAGAAGTTGAAAAGTTAGGAGATAAAGCACACAGAAACTAGCAAGAGCATTGGTTTTTGCATAGGTACATTGTGGAGAGGTTGAAAAGTTAGGAGATAAAGCACACAGAAACTAGCAAGAGCATTGGTTTTTGCATATTGAGACAAATCTCTCATTGTTAGAAAAGATGCTTAAAGAGAAGGAAATTGATATAAACTAGCCAAAATGTTTGGGAAGTCAAAAATGTCAAAATGTCTTGAAATTAAAATGACAGATAAATATTTTTTTGAGTGTTGTTAATGTTTTGTAGCTTGTATATTATTTTATTACAATATTATTACGATATTAGGATAATGTGTAAATTATCCTAATATCGTTTAAGAATCAATGTCATAAATTACATGTATTTTAAACTGTGAAATTTTATTAGCTTTTGATTTTGATAGGGCTTTTTTAACAGATATTGTTAAAAAACAAAATTTAATAGTAGCCATGTAAATCCATAATGACTAAGGTTATTAACCTACCTAATTTAATTATTGATAACTAACTGTTTACGCTTAAAAAATTTCTCTACATATTAAAGCGAGTTATTGCATTTCATTAATACTCACTGTGGTCAGGCCCACCAGCGGCCGAGCGGTAAAGACGCTGAACACTGGTAGTTCAGTCCGAGGTTCGAATCCCGTGAACGGGCTGGCTGCATGGACGTTTTCATGGTTTTCCCCATGTGAAATGTGTATACAAGCAAGTTTCCCTTAGAAAGTCCTCCATGAAGGCATCCCTTCCTTTAGGCAAATATCACTCATGTGCTTTGCCACAAATAATCAAATCCAATCCACTGTGGTCACAAGATAAAATACAAAAATGTAAAAATTCAAGTAAAACATATTTTTTGCATCTAGTGAGACTTAAAATAATACAAAACAAAACAACTTATCACCTCTGGTGCTTTAATGGCTTATTGGAACCTTAAAGTATATTAACTCATTACAAGCCCTGAAACTCTACATGAAGCTACGACACTAACTGCATCAGAAAGAGCCTGACTGACTTTCAACACTTACCAACCATGCATACATCAGGCCTTTCAGGTTTGTTCGAATCAGCAGGTCTCTCTCTAGATTAGCAGCAGCGGTGACAACATTCAGTCTTTTGGTTATGAATCATGCGGATTATGATCTTACTTCTTATTTTAACTTATGCCGTTTGACAAAATCTACGTGCTATTTATGAAACCAAGTAGACTGACCAAGTATGTGACAAAATGAGGCATAAAAAAATCAACATAAAGCTAACTATTGGTAAAACGTAAATGTCACTTATCTTCTTTCAAATATGTCCAACTATTATAAGTGTAAAATATTTAATGCTACTTGATAAATTGCATAAAGTTTAATTTATTCTAAACTTATTAATAATTATGCTGATTAATTCATGTTTAGTAATAATGTATACTACTTAGGGATCTATTTTATTTTTAGGATGGTATTACAAAAGTGAAATTCAGGCATAAATAATATTTTTAATTGAATTTATTCAGTTCCCATTTGCTCATAGGTCCTTAATTTTTTTCATTAATGGTCCTTAAAAGTCCTTAAAAAAGTACTTAATTTCCGTGTGCAGAAATGTGTACGAACCCTGTTTATTTAACAGCAGTTTCAGAAGCAGATCTTTCTGATACCTAGGAAATAATTAAAAATACATTCTAAATGAATAAATTTATTTGAAAGAATACTTAACCACTTAACTCAAGTCATATTGAAAGCTGGTAGAAATCCTAGAAAGGTGAAATCCAGTGCTGGCTGCAAAAGCTAAAGTTCTCAACTAATTTTCTAATGTTCTTAACTTACAAGATGTGGGAATAAACATTGCTAATTATGAAAAAATAGTTGAACTGTAAACATATTTAGTTCCCAGAAACCAAGAAAATTATTTAATACCACCTAACTTAGAAACTATCTCTTTTGGCACAATAATTCTAAGTTAAAGCGCAACATGCTGCATGTCCGACAGCTAATTTACACTTTCGTACAAGCTTATAGCCTGTTCATATAGTGTTACATTGAGAAATGAAATAAAAATTGAGACAGAAAAACATAATTTCCATTTAAATGAAAGGAATTTTCATGAATGAAGGTTAATGATTTCTTATATTCATTTGTGATATAAACATCTTATTTAGTTTAAAAATAATAACATTAAAGAAAAGTGAATTTTTTTTTGGGGGGGTTAGCACATTTAAGTACTTCAAGATACTGCTTTACATTGTAGTTCAAGAATTAAGTGACTAAAAATTATTCCATTATAACTATAAAAATAATTTATTCTATTCTTTGACTAAATAACATCTCTCCCATTTTATAATGTTGAAACATGTATAATTACTCTTAGCCATAGTTAAAAGTAGCTTTTGAGGAACTTCACAATGATATTTTTTGTTTTCTCACTACACAAAATAAAAAAAAAAAAAAAAAATGAATAAAATTTACACATTTATCATCAAAATATCATAGCTAACCACTTAACTAGAAACCTGAAAAACTTATTTTCAACTTAATTAAAAAAAGGGGGGAGAGAGAAAGGATGAAATATGTAAACTGACATAAATTTTTTTTAAGACATCAGAAATCAGACTAAAACATTCTATTTATTATAATAACAATCATAAATATACTTTATGTGGATGAAAACCATGTGTCCCTTTATTCATGTAGGCTTTTATGCATGTGTGCTTTCATCTGTGTGAGTATTTGTCACATGGGCAGTTATCACAGTGGGATTATTTTTGTGAGCTTTTGTTATGTGCACTTTTATCAGGGATGAAGTGGACTTTTATCAGGGACTAATGATGCATTAGGTTAGATTCCAATGAATGCTACCCAAGGTGGCACCAGACGCATGCATGAAGTTGCATGCAGATGTGAAATTTAAGAAGACGTTATTATACTGTTGCTACATCTTTTCAGTGTACTGCAGTAGCTGCAGTTACCAGCGCATATAAATGTTGGTAAAACACTAGCTGCTGTGGAAACAGCTCTTTACTCTCAGTGACCTGATTTGGCTAAATATATAGATGCTTTTTTATGTCATACACCATACTTCCTATACTAGGATGTGTGGCTGTCCTGTCTGCACTGGTCATTTACACAAGATATCAGTTCTTTCAGGCATTGACTGTAAGCCTGCATGTCATTCCTTCTGCCCTTCCTGGACCTACAGGCTTCATTTTTCACATAATTGTGGTTGGATTTTCACCAGCATGAACTGTAATGTGGTGGTATGGTAATTTGCACTCATACTTCTAATCAAATTACACTTATAGTCAAATAAACAAGGAAGGAACATAATTCCCCCATATGGAAAATCCTTTGTTCTGTTTTACTCTGATTCTAGATGATGGTAGAGATGTCTATTATTAGCGTTATATGCTATATTGTTAATCATTTTCATGTACTGCCATTATGCAGATTATCTATTATGCGGATTTCATATTGATCAATTGTTTCCTTCATGGTATTGGAATTTTATTGGCAAGCAATGTAAGATTATATCTAAAATTAGTCATAAAATTATAAGACAACTCAATGAGAAAAGAAACTGTAATTTCTTCTTCGAGTTAGATTATTTTGTGTGTGTTGGAGAGGGGATTCTGATTGATGCCAATTTAACATAATCACATTTAAGAAATTGAGTAAGGGTCTTTTGACACTTGGTAAAGCTACTAATTTTTTTTTTTAAATTTATTTAATTGAATAGCTGTAGATTCAGGTTTTTTTTTTTTATGAGAAGTCAGAACTAGCCAACTGTGGTAAAATCTAATTTCACTTGTATTTTGGACTGCATAGGTTAAAATTAAATTAATAATTGTTGGAGATGCTCTCTCTAAAATTGATGTCGCTAGTTTTACATGTTTTAGATTTGTGTTTAAGTTATTCTTTGAACATTTTATAAAAAGTGCTACTGTATTTAAAAGTAAATGCTTTACTCTAATGCTGGTTATTTTTTTATGCAATAAATCAGGCCTCCATTCTTTAATCATCGAGTAAGATTACGTCTGCGCGGTGTTAGATATGGTGCATGGATTCATCCAAACTTTAGAGAAAGGAGTCATGATTTGTTCATTGGATCAAGTCGGAGACCATTGCTGAGAGATCCTCAACCGCACAGATATATTAGACCACCATGTCCATTGTTACCTCTGCCAAGATTTCATGCTCCAGATTCTGTTTCCAGAGGGGCTCTTTTACCTTTGCCAAATATAACAAAAAATGTGCCAATGGAGTTTCCAAGTGAGCCAAATATTGCATCTACAAGTAGTAAGTATTTTTTGTTACTTAAAATATAGACTAATTTTTTAATTGACTTCATTTTTATTATATTTGTTGCATGATAGTTTATGATTACTTTTCCTATTTAATACTGTTTACAATTAATATATGTTCATTTAGGAACTTAAAATAAATATATTCACTGAGATTAATTTCCAAACGTAGTAAATTCTAGATTAATTTCTTTATAGTATAATGTACCTATTAGATTTTAATATTTTTGTTACTGATTGGTGATTTAATATATTTGCTTACTGAAGTATAATGATTTCCTCCCGTTAATGGTCATTTAGATCTGGAAATGTTTATTCATTTATTTTCAGTATGCACTTATTTGTAAACTTTTAGGTAATACATTGGTTTTCTAATTTTTCTGATGATATTCTTTGGGCAGTATTTATTATAAAAAGTCCTTTTTATAAAATATACCTTTAATCTGGGCATGTAAAAAAAATGCAATTTTTAGTATTTTTAGAATACTGCTGGAATTATAATTCATATTTTTCTAAGTTTATACATGGTACATTCTGAAGAACAGAAGTTTTGCCTAGTAGTAAAGTTCAGTTCTCATGATCTAAAATAAATAGTACTTGCATTTGATACAATTTTAAGCAGTAAAGTTTTGATACATTTTTCAATGAAAACATGGTTTATTTTAATCTACCAGAACTGCAATAAAAAAAATAGTTGGAAAATAAAGTTAGCATTTTTAATAAAATGTTTTTTATATTTTGTACAAAATAATTATGAAATATACTTTCAAGCAAATGCTTTTATGTTTCATCATATTGACTGATTGCTATGTAAAAGTACCCAGTGTATTTGCACAGTTGTTTAAAATAATTTAGAATGTTAACTTTCATTAAATATACTAATATAATAAATACTTTATAATAAATACTTCCAGAGTAGGGACCTTTCTGCTACTTTTTTACAGGCACAAGAGACTTTAAATTTCGCCTCCAACTGGTCAAAAGGTTTTAAAATTAGATTTTAAAATCCTGATAAAACCAGGGTTATGATTATTGCTGACAAGTTGGGGCCTCTCAACATCATGAATGCATTTCAGTTATCTCTCGATGGCACCCCTTTGAACTTGTGGTAAAGCAAATGAAATATCTTGGGGTTTTTCTTGACTGTAAATTTTCTTGGAAGCGAACACTTAACTTATGTATCAGAAGAAATGTGATAAATTACAGCGGTGGATTACAGTCGTATTGCACCTGCAACACATACGGTATTAATTACAATGTTCATACGCTCCTCTATAAACAAGGAATTGCCCCCCTTCATTATGTATGGCTCTAGAGTCTGGGGTATATCGCTCAAGAAGAAGATAAATTATAGATATTTACGACGTGTTCAAAGGCGGAATACTTCTGCGGGTCATATGTGGATATCGTACCGTAAGCTATGAGTCTGTTTATGCAATTTCTGGCTTTCCTCCGATTGACATTGCCATTCTTCATTCTATTGCTTATAAGGAAAATATTTCTGCTTCTACTGTCTCTCACTATGATTGTATATTACCTCTATCTGATCTCCCTAATCCTTCAGAAAGAAATGCTGTTAATTTTATTCAGTTTAGCAATAAAATCGTAGATGATTCGCCTGTAACTTGCTATACTGATGGCAGCAAAATTGATGGCAAGGTTGGTCTCGCATTTGTTGTCTTCAAAAATGGTCTTAAATTTGAGCACTTTCAATTTAGAATCAGAGATGAATGTACCGTTTTCATAGCTGAACTTTTGTGCTTAAACTTCGCCGTCAAATGGGTCTCTAAACAAAACAGTGCTGTTTCAGACTATCTCATTTGTACTGATTCCCTTTCATCCTTGGAGATCTTAAAATGTATTTCTTCTTCTAATAATATCATTATCGAGATTCAAAAAGAACTGAAAAATCTAAAGGATAAAAATATTTCGGTTTCATTTTCATTTGTTCGTGGTCATACAGGTGTTGTTGGGAACGAACGAGCCGATTTCCTTGCTAAGACTGCGACTAAGCGGGAAATTGACACTTTTGTCAATATCCCCAATTCCTTCTATAAGAAGGTCATGTATGAAAGCATTGTGGAGTCGTGGAATCACGAATTCATTAATATTCAAATAAAGGGAGTTTAACTAGAAGATTTTTTCCCTTCTATTAAAATGAGATTGTCGTGTCATCATTTCTTCACAAATTATAAATTAACCCAGTTTCTTACTGGACATGGGAATTTTAAAAGTTATTTGAACAGATTTAAGTTGAGTCCTGAGTCTGTCTGTGACTGTGTCCTCGGCGGCGAGGAGAATGTAGAACATGTGCTTCTTCTATGTCCTAAATACGAGAGCGAAAGAAAAAGTCTTGAAACTGGGACTGAAAAATTTTAATATTAACTGGTCTCCAGAGTTTTAACCAATTTATTTCCGAGAGAAAGTGGCTTTTAACACTTTTTTGTCAATTCATTGTAAAACCTGTGTAATCATCCTTAATTTTATTTTTCAATTTTCTCTTCTGTTTAGTTTGTATTGTGTTTCTTACTTACTTCTGTAAGCCCCATGTGATACTATGTGGTTCACGGGGAACTTGTTGTGTTTCATTTAATAATAAAAAAAAAAAAAAAAAAAAAAGTTAACTTTACATTGTTTCGTTAATGTCATTTTGAATGCATGCTGTGCATACGACTTTGAGGGAAGGCAGAATTTTGTGATGAATACTAATATCATCATTTCAGCCTTTTTGATAATTTTTGTGTAACAAGATAATTCATTCTAAATCTCTGTAGTATAATGTGCAGTCATAATTCTTTCCAAAAGAATTATACTTAGAAAGGATTGGAAGAAGCAGATTAGATGTACAAGTGCATCAGATCGTATTTTTAAATGTACAACATTCTTTTATTTAATATCAGCATCATGTCTTCATTGCCAGCATCATATTATGTAATTTATTTATTAATTAAATTACTTACATTCAAAGTCCATTTATTTTAAATAAAAAACTAACTTTTGTATTGTTGGCCTGCTTTGAGTTTCCTACAGAAAATGGGCAGAGTTACAGCTTTGCCATAGCCATAATGTCTTGAGACTTCCATTCAAGGAACAGATTTGTAGCTTTTAACTTCATATAATAAAACCAAAGCTAAATTTGCTTGAATATTTTTATGTCTATTTAGTTACGTTTTATCAGTTTTGATTTCTGTTTTGAAAAAATATTGGATTCTTAAAAGAAAAAAACTGGAAGTTTTCAGATTTTATATTATGCCCAAAGACCTGTTTTTTTTTAACATTTTGTGTGTTACCTTTATTTATTAAATATTGTGTTCTTCGCACATAAACCATATAAATTCAGTTCATCAGAAATATCACAAAATATTTAAAAACAGCATATCTTTAGAATTTCTGATAGACAGTCTCGCGGGCTGGAGATAGAAATGTTTTTTCTGTACAGTGTTGCCATTGTTTACTTTGAAATCGTTGAGTTTGTTAATCAAAAATTCGTTAAAGTTTACAAAATATGAAATAGATAATAAAACAAATTTGAAATTCAAAACTTGGGCTTCCAGGTTCCCATGTTCAGGTGGAGGATAACATTATTCAAAATTTGATGTCTCTGGGTACCGTCGTTTTTTCACAATATGAGAAACATACATACATTCATGCAGACTCTTCATTATTTAATTTCTTTAAATATAATACAGGACAATTATATTTGCTGGAAACAATTTGAAATGTTATACGTTGCAAACGAAAGCAAAATGACATTTCTAGACTAACAGCCCTTCTGAGTTAACACTCCTTTGCGCTAACAATGGAATTTTTACATTTTCGTATTTTATCTGATGTGTTTTTTTTTTTTTTTTTTTTTTTTTTCTTTCAAAAATGCATACATTATAAGTAACATGAACTATTGACCTTAATACTGATTACTTATGTTTTAATTTTTATTCAAGTCTCCTTATATATTTTTTAATCAATTTTGGTGATCATTGTTATGCTTGTCTAAATCTAGAATATTGTTTATGTATTGTTTTAAATCTAGAAATTTGTTTTTACATAGCATATATTTGATGAGTTTCATATTTTAATATTCTTTGTCATCCAGTGCTTTGAATTTCATTTATTCTTCCTTGGTTATGTGATAATTTACTGAGGGAGGGGTTGCATTTTTAAAGCATTTTAAATTGCAGGAACTATTTATGAGTTCATCATGCTCTTTCATGTCAAGATTGCCTCACTAGTGTATGTTGTCATTTTTGCTGATGATTTCCTGAGTTGTTTTCTTTTTGAATGTGAAAATTTTCTTAGCAATTGTACTGAAAACCAATTTTACCAAACTGGACTTAATGGAATTCCTGCTAAACTGAAGCAGCAATTGACTGCACCAATCATTTATAAATGTGTATATATATTTCTGCTCTGTTACCTTGTTCAGTTGAGCTTAGTTTTTTTAATTCTTATATGTTAAGAAATTGCTCACTTTTTGCTTTAAAATTGGTTGGATTATGTGATTTTTCATGTTCCAGTTAAGTTTTTAATGCGTCTAGTTAAGCTGCGTGCCATAGCTGTAGAATTATCAACAATTTAAAAGCTGAAGTGGATAGATAAGCCTAACGTACCGTCTTTTGTTTACTTCTGAAACTCAGTAGAATAGTAAATTCAGTTTCTGCAGCTTCATTGTCTTTTTGCCAAGTGGAACGAAAAGTAAACTTTCAGTCTTGTGCTCCAAAAAAACTGCCTTCTTGCTGCTGGCCAAATTGCTTGTTTTTTTTTTCATAGAAACTCTAATATTAATTGTAAAAATTGTGTTTTTTTAACTCTTTTAACTGTATTTGGTGTTTTGTTTTCCTGTATTTTACAATTTTTAATGGAAGATTCGAATTTTTATGTATTTTTGCTTTGCCACAAAGTGAGAAAGTAATTCTTTGAATGAGAAATATATCTCTGATGAAATATAAGGAAATGAATTTGAATAGAATGCAGTAAAACTTGTATCTAATTTAATAGACCATACAAGGAAGACATGTGGTGTCCACATCAAATTTTTACCTATTCATATTGGTAAAAAATTGTTCAAATTGCCACCACTTTTAAGTCCCACCTCCCCTTTTTTAAGGGGGGGGTAATGTGTGTCATTTTCTTCAAGTGATATAAGTGAATGATAAATGCAAAATGGGATTTTTTAAGTTTATTTTATTCAAAATGTACTGTAAAATGGCATTATTGAAAATGGTATGTACAAAACTAATGATGTGTAGGTCGTTTCTGTTTTTATGAAAACATATGTAACCATGAATTAACAATGGAAAAGTGTCATCCAGAATTGCTATGCACCACTAAATGTGGTTATACCTTTAAATGATATGTTAACTGCTGTCCATTGACTGAGGGCATACATTTTATTTTAGGTTTACCATCAATTTCTACTGAAGGTGATGTTAATTTTGCATCAGGTGAATGTGATTTGCCAGTTGATGTTGAATCCCTTCTAGAAAAGCTAGTTGCTGCTGGAATAATAACTTCGAAACCATATGAAGAATCTTCTAATGAACCTAAAAGTATTGCTGAGTCAGAAACAAAGGAAGAGAAAGAAAATGATGTTGCAGAAGAGGAATCAGTTCCTGATATTGAATTGAAGTCTGAAAGTCTGAGAGTGTATGTAACATTTCTTTTACCTAGTTTATTAAATGCTGATTAGTTCGTGTTAGTGTGTAAAATCATCCGAGAGTGTTTGAAACATTATTTTACGTATTTTATTAAGCATTGATTAGTTTATGTTATCGTGCAAAATCACTAATTCTGAAATTCACAACATTTTAAAATTTTCTATGTACTTTAATCACAATTAGCAGCTGTATAATTTGCATTGTGAAATCACTCATATTAACACTTTGTGGGCCGCTGTCATGCTTGCATGACTTTTGCTTGCCAACGGTTATCGGCTGCTGTCACGCTGGCATGACTTTTACTCGGCAACAGTATCGACCGCTGTCACGTACGCGTGACTTCTTTTTGCCAACGACGATGCTTCACATCAACGTTTGTATAGATAGACATACTATAGCAAAATATTTGACGATCAGGAAACATTGGTTTCAACTGTTTTCCTCTCCCAATTCACCAGACTGTCTATTATTGAAATCTTTTTCCCGTGGACGCTTGTTTTGTTAGTTTGAGACTGTCTTTCGCTGCCTTCAAATATCGGAAACTTACGTTAGATTTAAAGATATCCTTCAAAATGCTCTTTGATGAGGAAATATATGCTGATCTGTTATCAGAAGAGGATAATTGCTCTGATAGTGAAAGTGATTCGGACAGTGGGAGCGATATAATTGTGAGACGATTCAAAAATAAGGGAAGACCAATAATTAATGAATCTGAAAGTGATGAAGAGAATTCTGTGGCAAATGATTGGTCAGAAGTTGATATTAAACCTAACTTTCATGCTTGCCTGGAACGGTTTGGGTTACTGGTACCATACACACCAGATATATTATCAACCGTGGATTGTTCATTGGGGACAATTTATTCAATTTGTTTGCCACACAAACAAACTTATATCATAATCAGCAGAATAATGATAACAACAATGAATCAAAAAGACTAATGCTTGGATTGATACAAATGTTGTAGAAATGAAAAAAGTTTTGAGGTTTGTTATCCAAATGGGAATAGTAAGAAAACCAGAACAAGACGATTATTGGTCTACTCACCCTGGATTACATACACCTATTTTTGGGAATACTATGCCAAGGAACCGATTTTGGCAGTTATGGAAGTATTGGCACTTCAGTAATAATGAGCATTGCCTAAAAAGGCTTGATAAAATAAAACCAGTTTACTCGTACCTGGTAGAAAAGTTTCAAAAAATTTATAAACCCGAGAAAGAATTATCTCTGGGTGAAGGTATCATTCCATGGAGGGGCAGGCTATCTTTTCGTACATATAATCCTGCGAAAATTATAAAATATGGAATTTTAGTCCGTATGGTGTATGAAGCGACATCTGGTTATATATGCAATTTAGAAATATATTGCGTGCAAGGAAAATTGCTAATTGCAACAATATTGTCCGTGCGATTGCCATATTTAAATTTATGGCACAATGTGTATGTGGACAACTATTACTATAGTGTAAAGGTTGCAGAGGAGTTACTAAAGCATTAAACAAACATCTGTGGCACAATTAGAGTAAACAGAGGAGTGCCAAATTGTTTAAAATCTGCTACATTGAAAAATAAGTCAATGGAATTTTGTAGAAAATGGAATTCGGCCAAAAAATTGATAATGATGATTTCTACGATAACTTCAGCAGACATGGTGGAATGTGTGAGTAAAAGAACCAAAAGAAGTGCATTAAACCAATTTGCATACAAGAGTATAATAAATTTATGAAAGGTGTTGATCACGCGGATCAATACCTATCGTGTTATTCCATACTTCGCAAAACAAAAAAATGGGGGGGGGAAACAGTTTTATATCTCATAAAATGTGCGTTCTCAACGCGTTCCAGATATACATAAAAAATTCTGAAAATCCTATTAGATTCAAACAAGTTTTACTAAACCTTGCACTAGCATGGATTAATGGGAATGAAGAAGAGCAACAATCAAGATCAGCTGCTTAGTGTGATGAAAGATCGCCGAGGTTTGATCCACCAGGCAGACTTACTACGGACATGGGAAAACATAGAATAACATGTATTAGTGGTAATGGGAGAATTCATAACCTGCAAAGGGCCTGTAAAGTCTGCACTGCCGAAAAGAAAAGAAGTTCCACTACATACATGTGTTCTTCCTGCAACGTTTCTCTGCATGTTGGAAAACGTTTTCAGAATTATCATACTAAAAAAGAACTATAGATCCTAGGAGTTAAATTTTTTAAATAAAACGTTTTAGTACTAAATAAAAAATATAATAAAAATAGTGTAACAGTTATTTTAGTGATTTCTTTAATAATAATTATATACCAACTACTTATGTTTTGAAAAATTGCGTAAATATCACTGTTGACGAGCAGTAGAACCTGCATAAACCGGCGGCAGCGTAATGGCGCTTCGATAAATACGCGGCCCACAAAGTGTTAAAAAATATTAAAGTTTTTAATTTATGTGTTTGGCATAAAAATAATGATAACTGCTTATAAGCAGTATTTTAACATTCTGCTTCCCCCCCTTGGTCAGTTGAGGAACAGAAATTTTCATATTTTGAAAAAAATTATCATACCAGTATTCTGCAAAAATGAAATATTTGTTATTAAGAAATAAGACTAAGTTTTTCATACATTATACTAGAATCTATTCATATAACACAATGAAATGCTATTGAATTAAAAATTGCAGTTCCAGAGCAGAATTGTGGTTACTGGTTATAATGATTATGTATCACAGCATAAAATGTATAAACGTTCAGTGATTGTTAGGGTGGCTGATAGTAGTTTGCAGTCAGGCCCTCCATTGTGAATGCTGACAGTAGCCCATTGATGAGAATGGTGCCAGAATTGAGCTTCTTGGTATAGGTAGTATTTAGGTGGTACTTAACCTCTTTGTTGACAATGTCGTGTGAACGAAATTCCCACGTGTACCAATGAGCTTGAAGTGCTCAACATCATTTTGTGCTGGAGCACATTTAGCATTTAAGCCTAATATGCAAAAATAATTCCTATAAAATTGCTTTTTATCAAAGTATTTGGATTCTTGCTTTTGTTATTTAAATGTTATTTCTTATTACATAAACAGAAAATCCTAGTACTTAAAAATTCAGTATAATTTAAATTACAGTATTAATAATGATATTTAAATATATTAAATAATTCTCATATTTAAAGTTTTTCTGTATAATAATGAAGTAACAAACTGTGAACTTATGTATCAGTGCTCATTATGTCCTAACCCATATTTATCTGCAAAAATTTTAAGAGGTTGCTGTGTGAGAAATGTTTCTAATTTATGAATGCATCATGCATTTTCCTTTTGTAGAATACTGGTAGTTCGGTCTGAGGTTCGAATCCCGCGAACGGGCTGGCTGCATGGGTGTTTTTGTGGTTTTCCCCATGTGTAACGTGTATACGAGCCAGTTTCCCTTAAAAAGTCCTCCATGAAGGCATCCTTCCCTTAAGGCAGATAGCCTTCGAGTGCTTTGCCTTAATCTAATAAACCAAACCAAAACCTTTTGTAGAATAAAATAATAAATGATATTCATCATAACAATGAAGTAGCACTTTAAAAATTCTATTCAGTAAGTTTGGGCATTCTGAGATAATTTTTGAACGTTTAAAATTTGAAATTAAGTGTTCCATTTCAGCATATCAAATATGATATTGTCGGCTGTTGGTAACAATTTGCTCTCACATCAAAGGGAGGGCACGCAGAGGGAAACTGAGCCATATCCTACTGAGTTGGGAACAAAGAAGTTAAAGAAGAATCTCATCTACCTTACTAATTATACATATGAGTTGGGAGTCTGGATGCTATGTGGAAATATGAAATCATGCTGCTTTTGTTCAGTGGCATGCTGCTTTTTAATAGGCCATCATAGTTCAGTGTGTCATCAGCGTCAACTGCTGCTCACTTCTAGCTTGCATTAGATGAAGGTAGTATAGCAGACTGTGCTACATTATCTTCACCTCCAGGGTTGTACATTCTCATTTAGTATTGTACTATGGCAGTAACAGCTCTGAGGGTGCAAAAACATGAGTCTGGTGGTTCTGAAGTACCTGTGGGAAAGGTTTCACCCTAACTTTACACAGGTCTGTGGCTGTAAGCCTTCAAACTGGAGGTATCAGCAGTGGTACAGCGTCTACCGAATTCTGTGTAAATCCTCTTGGTTGGGGCTACCTGCATAGTAGAGGTAGATAATAAATCTTGATGACCATTTAAATCTTTAGGCTGATAATTACTGTCCCCCGCTGTTAAACCAAGAACAGGGAACCCTGTGGGCCTGGTCAGATTGGTAGGTTAGAGAAAAAATTAAAAATCTGTCACTAGTAAGTGTGAGATTCTTGTCAGTAAATGGAGTTTAATAAGAACTCAACTGTGGTATTTAGCCTGATCCTGCTTCCTGCTTAATACAGAGACTAGAAGAAAGTAGACCAGGCCATGTAGTGCCCTAATCAGTTTGGCAGAATACAGTGCTGAGTTTAACTCACCTTATCTTCAGGGTTTGCAGTATCCTGTTAATCTGAAAGATAGTGATGAGATGCAGCAAACATCAGCAAGCAAATGTTGTACCATATTGAGATGTTTCCTTGACTGTCTTTGTTTCAGATCTTTCTCCAGCTGAGCATTTGTGAGACATAATTGTACCTTTGGACTTTTTTGGCCCAGCTTCAAATGCAGTTAAATCCATGGGCAATGGTTAAAAATGTATAGTTGACCTAAGATGTTACTTGAACACTGATTGAATCTGAATATTGAAGAGCCATTGCTTGATCACCGAAAGAGGTGATTCTCCTTTGTGTTAATTAGCTTCAATGCTCAATAATTCTGGTGCAAAAATTCTCAATCTGCATGAATTCTCAATCTGTGCATCAGTTTGTATTATATGTTTCTTTCTTCTTCATGATGCTGCATTTTCTCTGTGAGTTAGTTTTCACCATAAACTGAGTACTTCTGAACTGTGAGATGAAGTTCAACTTGTTATTAGAAAAATGTTCCAT